GATACCCGGGACCCATTATTCTCGAATCATGGCCGAGCTTCTATAAAGATCTATGGGACCGACCGGTCCGGGATTAGAACCGGATCGGACCGAAACCGGGTCTGATCCATTCCAAGTACATTTAGGGGTGAGAAAAATTGAACCGAAACCCGAAAACCAACACAGGAGGCCCAACTCGAATGATGATCCTGGTCCATGTTTTTTATTTTTAACCGATCCGAATGAAAAAAACTGAACCAAACCGATAAAAACTTGAAGCAATTTACTTTCATATAAAGTCAATATAATATATGAATCTAATTATAAAATAATTCCTAATATATGATTATAATCATGGTGGATGAAAAAATGACTTAGTAACTTTTAGTGACTACAAATATGTTCAATTTTGTATACCGTAATGACCATGCAATTGTGTTTATAGTAACTTTAATTAGTCAAATTTTTAACTATAAATTTAATAATACGTTTTTTGAAAGATATTTAGTACTCCGTAATATGTTTAGAAAACCTATATTATTTATTTATATGTTTCTTAAACAAAATATTAAGATAATTATCTTTTTTGGATTTGAATTATTGGTGATTTTGGAGATTAATATTTGTATTTTTATTTGCGATTTGTATTTTTGATTAATTTTATTTGAAAAAAGTTTTAAAATATAAAAGGACAATGTGGTGATTTCACGTTCGGGCTTTAATCGCCCCCACCCGTACCCGGACCAAACTCGGGCTACCAAAAACTCGATTCGGATCGAATATAATGAGCTTTGTTCTGGTTCTTAATTTTAATAACCCGAGATCTTACGGGTAATTTCCGAGTTTAGCAAAACCTCGACCTAGACTGGACCCATCCCATCCGTACATTCAGTAAAGATATATAGATGATTATACTTAGCTAACATGCTTAATTATGTTATTATCTTAGGCCTCCTACCTCTAGCATGCTTAATTATCTCCACTACGTACGCAAAGTGAGACTCAACGTACACAAAGTGCGGATACAATTGACGAGAATAATGACGGCCATTAGAGAGAGAATAATGAAACTTTACTTTTGAAAAAGAAAAGTATTCCCCCATGTTTGTATACGAATCAAATAACTTATTCTCGGTTCGAGTTTCGAATTCGTATAAGACGATTCGAATTCGAAAAATTCAAATACAAGTATAAATAAGAATATTAAATTTGATTCGAATTCTTATCAAATACAATTACGAATATCAATATACAATATAATAGTAGTGATAACATTTCAATAACTTTTAAAAACTAGCTACACCCTCAAAGCGTAGTCCATATTTATACATTTGCGTATACATATTCCAAGTCAATTTGTCATAAATCAGAAGTATCATAAAGAGTAAGGGTTGCAAAGGAAACAAATAATTTTATTTCACACATTATATTATAGGTATAGTTTCTAATATGTATGTGTGTTAGTGTTTATTTCAAAAACTTAGCTTTTAAATATATTTATTTATAGTAATTATAAAATTTATTTGCTTCGGTGTATTATGCACAACCTAAAATTAGGGATGGGCAAAATAACCGAACCGACATGGTACCGAACCGGACCGTTATGGTACGGACCGGAAAACGGGATTTCAAACGGTTCCCAAAAATTTTGTCCCGAACCGTACCGAACCGATTCCAAACCATGCCATGACCGGTTCTCATAAAATGAGAACCGGTACCGGACCAAACCGAACCGAATTATAATTTTATTAATTTATACGGAGTATAATTTTATAATTATATATACATGTATACCATATTACCATTACTTTAATTACTCATTTGCACTTTGCTAATTGCTAGTTAACCGGATCGGTAAAAATAAATAGTATTATATGAAATTATTAACTATGTTATTGCTAGTTATTTGTGTTTTGTACTATTATAGTTTATAAGAAATTCATTAACTATATAATACTACCTCTGTCCCAAAAATCCTTTCCATTTTCAAAACATTGACCAATTATATTTTTTTATTGAGAATTATTTATAATATAAAAATTATACGAAAATGTTCTTTGTTAAAAATACTTTCATTCATTCATTCATTCATCATCATCACCCCAGTGCCGCAAAGGCTCCCACCTACGGTGGGGTAAGGGGAGTCGGATGTACGCAGTCTTACCCTTGTACTAAAGCACAGAGAGACTGTTTCCGAATGACCCGTAGTGAAAATCGCGTCGAAAATTGCATAGGCGACTGTTACTTCATAACAAAGGAGAGCAGACAGTTTAGTGAGTCATTTTGCTTTATTTCATCATATTCCCAAACCAAAAAATAGTGAGTCTTTGGCTCCATTGAAAATGATGGAAATTAAAAAAACTTTCATAAAAGTATAAAATTTATAACTTTCATAATACTATACTAATCAAAATCATGGTTCAATTTTTTTGAAATGACAAAGTTTTTTTAGGACGGAGATAGTATGAAAATTGATAATTGTGTTGAATTTTGGATGATGACCAAGTTTTAATTTATTGAAAAAAGTGACCTTGTTTGACATTGGTATGGCATGGTATCGGATCGTTTGAAAATGGAACCGAACCGTATGAGTTTAGGTCTAAGACCGAACCGAACCATTTCAATAATAACGGTTCGGATACGGATTCGATAAAATATTGGACCGGACCGGACCGCGCACACCCCTACCTAAAATTGCTATACACAGTAGCTATATTAAAATTATATACGGAGTAGTAGATTATATAAATAACAACAATGCTCCGTGCAGAGGGCTGGAGCCAGGACTTTGTCATCATACGAGGAGGCAAGAAGGAACACAAATACGGAGTAATAAAGTTCATAGGACTAAAATTAAACAAAAATACAGTTCATAAATAAGATTTTCATTAATCAAATTATTTTCAATAGGACTAAATAATATCTACTTGACAAAAGTATTTTGTCCTATTTTTAATTATATATATATATAGTTGAGTTCTAATAAGAAGACATCTTAACGTGAGAAGTGAGAAGCTTCACATTTGTCTCTTTCTGATGCACTTTTTTCGCTAATCTGATGCATTTTTTGCGATGGCAGAAAAGTTACGATTAATTACGGATATGCCACCGCGTCTAGCATCACTTTTTTAATATTTTTTGCACTTTCCGGTGCACTTTTTTGCTAATCTGATGCACAGATCTTAAAATGAACGCACCAGATGCATTCTCACTTCTTACGATAAACACTCTTCTTATTTAATCCTTATTCTCTCTCTCTCTCTCTCTCTCTCTCTCTCTCTATATATATATATATATATATATATATATATATATATATATAGTTGTGTTCCGGTCAGGAATTCCTGACCGGAACCGCCGTCAGGACGACGGATTTTGGGGACCTTCCCGGTGGATTTATTTGATGAAATTTTTATGGCATGTTCTTCATCATGTCTAGTTTATCCACACAAAAATTCAGCTAAAACCTCAATCGGAAAGGTCGTCAAATGATTTTTACAAGATAACTGCGCCGGAAAATACATATAAAACACAGTTACCTTGTAAAACTCATTTGACGACCTTTCCTATTGAGTTTATTGCTGAATTGTTTTGTGGATAAACTAGACTTGATGAAGAACATGCCATAAAAATTTCATCAAAAAATTCCATCGGGAAGGCGGCCAAACGCCGCCGTCCGGATGGCGGTTCCTGTCCGGAATTCCGGACATGAACTTTCCTCTCTCTCTCTCTCTCTCTCTCTCTCTCTCTCTATATATATATATATATATATATATATATATATGGAATTATTTCATGAGTAGTGATCTTGTCAAAATTACGTGATAGGATTTGCCAATCCGGCTACATATGTTTGATGTGCTTCAAGGTGGATTCTTTTGATAAAGTTTTGTGAGAATGTTCTTCATGATTTAAACTAAATTTCAGATTAAAATGCAATCATGAAGTCAATTGAATAAATTATTATAAAATATTGTGCCGAAATATATATATATATATATATATATATATATATATAATAGCGCAGTGTTTTTCATAATTTATTTAATTGGCTTCCCGATTGAATTTTAAGGTAAAATTTGGTGGAAATAATATACTCTTCAATTGAGCGAGAGAGCTCATTAAATAGAGGAAATTTCTTGGAATTGCTAGAATGGTATAGTGCACGCAATGCCGATGTGGCAAAAGTGGTGAAAGACAATGCACCTTCGAATCACCAACTTACTAGTCCTATGATTCAAAAAGATATTATTAATGCATGCGCATCACAAACAACAAAAGCCATAATAAATGATCTTGGTGACAAGTTTTTTTCTTTATTGATTGATGAAGCTCGTGATAGTTCTGTGAAAGAACAAATGGCAGTTGTTGTGAGATATGTAAACGATCATGGAGTTGTGATTGAGCGGTTCCTTGGGGTTAAGCATGTTGTTGAGACCACATCTCTTTCTTTAAAAAGTGGCATTGATGATTTTTTTTCAAAACATGAATTATCAATGTCTAGAGTTCGAGGACAAGGGTATGATGGAGCTTCTAACATGCGAGGTGAGTTGAATGGATTGAAGACTCTTATCTTGAATGAAAATCCACATGCGAGATATATTCATTGTTTTGCTCACCAATTGCAATTAGTTGTCGTGGTTGTTTCTCAAAAAAATAATTTTGTGAGTGATTTCTTTGCATATTTGTCCATGATTACAAACATGGTTGGATCCTCTTGTAAAAGAAAAGATGAATTTCGCCAAAAACAACATGAAAACATGGTAGCCATGTTAGAAAAAGGTGAAATTACGACCGGGAGAGGATTGAATCGAGAAAGTACTTTAGCACGACCGGGAGCTACTCGATGGGGTTCACATTTTACAACCATTATTCGTATTCTATCTTTGTGGTCTCCAACAATCGAAGTGCTTGATAATATATTTGATGATGGAATTGATTCGAAATCAAGGGGCAAAGCTAGTAGTTTGGTTGAAAAAATGGAGAGCTATCAATTTGTTTTTATAGCCCACTTTATGAAGAAGGTATTGGGATTGACGAATATGTTGTCACATTTCTTGCAACAAAAAGATCAGAACATTCTTGAGGCTGTGAGCTTGATTAAAAGCACTAAAGAGAAGTTCCAAGATTTGAGAGAAAGTGGATGGGAAGAGCTATTAGAAGATGTCAGTAAATTTTGTGTGAAGAATAAAATTGACATTCTAAACATGGAAGATACAACTCATCGTTCTAGACGCGTTCGCCATCCGGTAACAAATTATCATCACTTTCGAGCTGATATTTTTTATCAGGTATTTTTTATTAAAATTTAAAGGCTAAACGGTCAAATAGGTCCTTGTACCCTTTCGGATTGCTCAATTTGGCCCCTCAACCCAAAAAAGCTCCAATTGGCACCCTGAACTCGATAAAAATATTCAAATTTCACTTTTTGCAGGTTTCAATCCGGTCACCGCCACGTCACCCGGTAGGGTGCCAACTGTGCATGTGACGTGGCAACTTAGGGGGTCAAATAAGCCCCTGAACCCGATCGAATCGTTCAATTTACCCCCTCAACCCTAAAAAATGTCAAAAAAAATTTGAGGGTTGAGGGGGTAAATTGAACATTTCAGTCGGGTTGAGGGGCTTATTTGACCCCCTAAGTTGCCATGTCACATGCACAGTTGGCACCCTACCGGTCGATGTGGCGGTGACCGGCTTGTGACCTGCAAAAAGTAAAATTTGAATCGTTTTATGGAGTTCAGGGTGCCAATTGGAGCTTTTTTGAGTTCGGGGGGCAAATTGAACAATCCGGAAAGGTACAGGGGCCTATTTGACCCTTTAGCCAAATTTAAATTATTTATTAGTTGTTGTTATTATTATTATCATTATTATTATTACTATTACTACTACTTTTTATTATTACCTTATTGTAGGTTATAGACCAGGTCAATCTGGAAATGGAGAATCGCTTTAGTGAGTCAAATACAGATTTACTCGCTTGTTTAGCTTGCCTTGATCCTAAAGATAAATTTTCCAATTTCTGTGAGTCAAAGCTATTCAGTCTTGCGGAGTTATATTCATCTGATTTTTCAGCTGTTGAGCAAATGGAGCTTAAAGAACAACTCCAAGTTTGGATATATGAGATGAGAGGAAATGAAGCATTTTCCACTTTATAAAGTATTGGTGAAGTGTCTAAGAAGATGGTTGAGCTTACAATTCACAAATCTTTTCACTTGGTCTATCGTCTTATTGAGTTGGCTCTAGTGTTACCAGTTGCAACAACCACAGTTGAAAGAGCTTTCTCAGCGATGAATATTATCAAGACAGATTTTCGCAATAAGATGGGAGATGACTATCTTACGGATTGCTTAGTATGCTACATCGAAAGAGACATTTTTCAAGCAATTGATAATGAAGCTATTATGCAGCATTTTCAAAATATGAAAACTCGTAGGATTGATTTGACTAGGTTGCAGAAGTAAATCAAGTAGTATGTAATGAACTATAATTTTTTGTTAAATTATTACGCTATTGTTGTTCTTATTATATTTTGGACACGAACTTTAAAATTTTTAGTCTTTGGTTTGCCCCTCCTTGGACAAACCTCTGGCTCCGCCACCTACTATTCCAATATCATTGACGACATCAGTTTATTTGTAAAAACAATACTACATCATTCAACCAACCAGGCTTTGAAACGCACAAAGCCATAAACCAAAAATCGGTGTCCCAGACAACTTTTTTTTTGTCCGAGAACCATTTAAGGGCATATTTATAATTTATTGCTTGCTCTAAATTGATGGTGCTGGGTAGGTAAAGTGAAGGATTTAGTATTTTCGTGATTCCTTCAATTCCATCCAACCATTAACTCAATTGCACAATTGATTGATGAAAACTGGATATTGGCTCTTAAATAATACTCACTCCTCTAAATTAAAATTTAATTACATGTTTGATTTTACGGGTTTTAAGGTAGAATATGAAATGAAGTTGGCTTTCCAAAAACAATATTACGTTATTAAAAAACTTAATTTTAGTGTAAAAAACTTTGTGTATTCCCCCCCTAATATATTAGGAATTTTATAGTTCCGGACCTCAAAGATAGAAAATTTATCAATCTAGAACCTGAAAGATGAAATATATCAGATCTGAATGATGAAAAACTATCAATCTAGTTAAATTACAGGTATGTTTTTATGGGAATAAAATATTATAATTATTTTGTGATTACTATTAGGAAAATCATAAAAGTTAAACAATCTCTATAAGTTATTTTAATTAAGCTCTCATTTTCGTTTATAAATTATGATGATAAATTAGTAGCTATCTTGAACTTTATTGCTTCATTTTAACCCACATTTGCGTTAGTGAATTGGCAAAATCGCAAACCATATCTCTATAAATAAAACCCATCAATAGAAAGATTTGTTTACAAATTTAATTCAAAGATTTGTCTCTATTACCATTGATATACGTACAGACTATGAGGCCGTTTGGCAACCCTCATTTTCGTCTTATCAGGCTTATCAGCCAACTTTTTTACCAAACACGTAAATTTTACTTTTGCGCGCTGAATTGTGAAATAAGCCGAAAAAGTAAGGTTGGAGTTACTTTTCTGGCTGTATTGGCTGAAGTTACTGTAGATGATCATTTTAGCTATTTTTACATATAATTTTTTCTTTATTTTATTAATATAATATATTTTAAAAATATTTTTTTCTTGTATCAGCAGAATCAGCCAATGCAGCCACTTCAGTCAGAACTTCATAAATTTCAGCAGAATCAGCCAAAACAGCCGATTTTCATGCTACCAAACGGGCTCTATATATGTTACTCCGTATATGGTTAGGAATAAATAAAACACACCTAATGCATGATATGTTGCCAAATTTAAGTTAATACTTTGTCTCTACGATTATTAATATACAAGTCGGAGTACATATATAGGAGAATATATTTATTGCCAAATTAGAGATATAATTATATATATACCTTATTTTCATTTCAGGTGGGAATTTGGAGCAAAAAATGATAACACATGTTACTTTATATTATATAAAGATTTCTTTAGCTCAATCTTTCCTTTTATTATATGTTTGGATACTCTAATTATCCATTGGGGCTCTCCTCGAGAATATCCCACATTTTCCAGTAGAAACTTAGAAAAATTTGAGCAGAAAATCATTTGAAAATTTGTCGCAATTCCGACCAAATTCAACAAAATCAGATTGAGTTCATAAAAAAATACAAAAGTCTCCTACACCCAGCCAAGGGAGAAGAGATCGGGAATACGAGGGCCATTCAATTCCTGTGATGTGCTATTTGAAGGAGTGGAATAAAAGGAAGGGAAGAATGGAGAATCAATGACACTTACACACATGATGTATCAAACATAAAAAAACTAGATTTGAATATTCTATTAGAATTTTCTTAAATTGCAGGCCAGGCATCGGCGGCACCGACAGGTCACATTTGGTCATTATCGTCATGAGGTCATGCACGTTTGATGCTATCGCCCAATGCGACCGTATGCTCTGCGCCTGTACATTGTGCACCCGTACGCTCTCTGTCGTGACCGGTTGCGACTCCTTGACATGCATGAGAGACTAGAGGTTGTACTCTTGCCTATCAGAGAGCTCATATGTCATGCACTCGTGTGCCCTTAGCATGACCAGATGAAGAGGAAGATAGCGAGAACAACACAAATTGAGCAACTATCCATCCACAGTGAGCACTCTGGATTGCCCGTCGACCATCGCGCAAGGAGCCAGGTGGTGATGCCGAGAGTAGATCTTCGAAATCAATTGTCGAATCCTGGAGACAGAAAGGGTACACTGGACCACGATCGTAACAGGCCATCTGCCCGTGATCGCCTCAGAGGTGAACCAGATCATGCCTCGCACAGGGACCCAACATCGCTTGATGCTGGGGTGCAGGCACTCCAGGAGGCCACTCGTGCTATTAAGGATTTGGCTCAAGGATTCCGGAGACTGATGCCGCAAGAGACAGAGCACATGCATTCAAGTCACATCACCCTTAGAAACATGGAAGCGTCCTTCAGACGGTACGAAGGGAGACATACCAGCACAGATGGATCCCGAAGGGAGTATGTGTCTCGGCAAGTTGAGCAGTCAGGAAGGAGGTCATCCCAGCATCACACATCCCAGAAAGGAGGGGATGATTCGTCTTATCACTATCGTCGAGAGGGTAGGCGTACAGCCTCCCCAGACGGACGCCATGCTGAATCTTGACCTCAGTACACGAGAGGGTTGTAGATTCTTCTGCACAAGTTCAGCTCCACGTTGGACACGCACATGTAGCTCAAATGACGTCATGAGTTTAATCTCAGACTCTGTTATTCACATCACCTTGTAGGCGTGCGTCAAACCTCAAGCGCGACCAACAACACCATCATTCTCATTTCAAGATCAGTCACATCATCCTTTGCTTAAATGAAGACCGATGCTTCGAATTCATGATCGGCCCAAGATCCGTCATCTTCATTAGACCGATCACATACTCCTTCAATTGGATGATGACCGCTGCTTCAAATTCATCACAAAAGGACTAAATGTCATCGTCCTCATTCTATGATCGAGCTTTCCCACCATCCTCAAGGATTACGACCATTTCTTCATCGTAAGCCTGGTCTCAACCACTCCTCAACAAATGGCAAACTTTTGGAGATATCTTACATGCTTCTGATGGGATGCGAGGCGAGCCAAATTTCTGTTGGTCTGGTCATGTCCCTCTACTCATTTTCAGCTTCATGCCCTTACTCTTCTCAACAAAATTATTCTTCGCAGAGAAGGGGAGGTGTGTGCTTCACCCCAACATCAGGCAAAGAAGCTCTTAGCATCTCCCCGACATTAGACATGGAAGGTGCATGCTTCTCCTTAACATCCGGAAGAGAGGCTGAGCATCTCCTCGACATCATGGGGAGACACTCTTAGCATCTCCCCGACATTAGGCAAGGAAGGTGCATGACTCTCGCCAACATCAGGCAGGGAAAGTGCATGTCTCTCCCCAACATCAGGCAGAGAAGCTGTAAGCATCTCCCCGACATTTGGCAGGGAATTGAAGTTGTGTGCTTCTCCCCGGCATCAGGCAAAGAAGCTCTATGCTTCTCCTTAACATTAGACGGACTTGCATCAGATGTCAAAGACCGAGACTCAGCATTCTTCGTCGCATCTACGACAACAAGTGCGCTTCTCTGACCATCCATACCTACGAGGAAACGAAGGTCAAAACATGGCATCAAATGCGATTCTCCGACCTGCCATACCTATGAGGAAACAAAGGTCAGGGCAGGGAAGCAAGTGTGCTTCTCCGACCCACCATACCTACGAGGAAACGAAGGTCAGGGCATGGAAGCAGGTGTGCTTCCCCGACGTGCCTCACCTACGAGGAAACGAATAGAGCGAGCAAGTATTCTGCCGGTTGGGTTATCTCCCCTTACTCGGCCTAAGGAGCAGTTTATACCTTTGCTCTTCTTGGAAAGTTGCTCTTCGCTAAGCAGGGAAGCTGCTCGCTTTTCCCAAGCACCAGACAGAGAAGCTTCGCGCTTCTTCCCTACATGAGACAAACCTTCATCAGACGTCGAAGCCTGAGACTTAGCATATTGTGCTGCAGCGAGATCACCTCTCTTGTGTGCCATGTCTGTAACAAGTAATAACAGCAATCAACAGGGACTACATATCATTGTAGACTACTCACTGCATCCTACCGGGAATGTCGGACGAGAATTTCTCACAAGTGAATATCGGTCTTTGCCATCCCCACAGCAGATGGTGACTGTTGTAGCTGCACATAGTGGCCGGAGGGCTCGCCCTTTTGCTTAATTTTGAAGAAGACCCTGGATTGCTAATCGGGCAAACAAGACATCGGGCTGCTAATCGGACAAACAAGACCCCGGGCTGCTAGTCGGACAAACAAGACCTCGAGATTTTAATCAGACAAACAAGACCCCAGGATGCTAATCGGACGGACAAGAAATCATGTTAGTAAACGAACAAACAAGACCCGGACTGCTACCTAGACGAAGGAAACCAAATGCTTTCGCAAGTAGTGGGGATCAATGTGGATAGTTGTGCAACCAGCCTTTTCAGAGCATACCTTGTGTGATCATCATCAACGGA